TTAGTGGTGTTTTTGTATCATTTGGTGGATTATTAATGTCAATTGAAGGAAATCTTTATCACTTGCATAAACTTAATGTTGGTCAAAATGTTTATTTATTGGTTAGACGAATAAATGAGTCATAAATGACGAAGAAAAAAAGAAAAAAGAAAATATTTATTAGCATTCAAATAGAAATCATAATATGTAAATTAGTTTCATATTTATATTTTAAATTTCTTTGTAACCTATTATTGGTTTTGTTATACGGTATGCCTATAATATATTTAAAATAAAAGTATTTTAGTTGATCTTTCAAATTGTTTATTTACTAATGAAACCTAAAAACATTTTAAACATATATTATATTATATAATTATATAATTTACATATAAAATCATGTTGATATAAAAATCATGCCAATAATTACTAATTGTATTAAAATCCAACCAATACTAAGAATTTTTTAAATGAAAAAACTTTATATATTCTTTAAAGTTTCTTTTCCTTCCTATTGCAGAATTTATAGCATCTTCAACAAGCATTACATATTAATGCTCGAGTATTAGTAGATATACTTTCCAAGAATTTAATGTTGTTTACTACAAGAATAATGTAATTTAACAGGTGGCAAGAATATTCTTTATTTCCTTGTTTTATTTGCCTCGTCCAATGACGTTTCATGTAACACGTTCTGTCATAAAATTCGAAGATGCCATAGTAGAACCGCATCCAAATGTTTTAAATTTCAAATAAATTATTTTACCACTTTGTTCATCAATTCTCATTTGAAGTTTCCACAGGCCAGTGCTCCTAAAAGTCCTATACCAACATTCGGATCTGATTTTGAAAGTGAACCAACATTTACGTGACCGTTAATAATGCTCAATGACTTATATATAATATATTTATTTATTTATTCATTCATTTATTTATAAGTTTATAAATTAATATCTAACAGAAGGTTGCTGCTTTTATTTATTTATTTAAATTCACCTTTATCATTAAAAGAACGAGGTATATGAAAATATTTTGAAATTGAAAATTAGCCAATCAAACATAAGAGCGTTTAGGTGAAAAATTGCCAATTTCATTTTCACGTAGGTGAATATAGATTATACTTTCGCATAACAACTAAAGAAATAGAAGATTGAAATTATTAGCGTGACCAAAACCATTAGATGCAATGGGCACACGTGTTTATCATGTAATGAACTTTACTTTCAACCATCTCTTCTATACTAACTAAACCTTTGATTCTATATGCACGTATTCCTTTATTTGAATTATCTTTAAAGATATGATATAATCTTTTTTTAAGAAACGATTCTTTGAAAATAAAAATGAATTTAACCAATTATTATTATTGTTATCAATATCATAACCCTTTTCTCTTCAATCAAGTTCATTCAAATTGTCTTTCCAAAGAACAATAAAATTTGGAATTAATTGGTGAAATAAGTATGGAAGCCAAAGTTAAACAGCTAACCAAACCAGTATATCTAGCCTTGGTTGTTTATTTTATTATTTAAACAATTGATATAGGTATTACTTTTATATTGATTCAATTGATTGTGTTGAAACTTTGGTAATAATAATAATAATAATAATAATAATAATAATAATAATAATAATAATAATAATAATAATAACGAAGTTGTTAATGTTAAAAATATTTCTTCGAAATCAACACAAGCACTTTAATGATACCCACAAGCCTTTGGCTTCACTTAGATGCAACAATAACTCCATCTATTGTCAAAGAAATATGAGAAATATGATAAAATTTTGCAAATGTAACGGTCATTAATAGGGTCAATTAATTTAGTATTATGGTCAATCCGTGGGTCAAATGTTGGTTAGGTTTAATAGAGTCAAATCTATTAATAGTCAACGATTTATTAGGGAGGGGAACCAAAAATTTTGTTACAGTAGACAGTTTCAATGTTTTTAATGTTAGTATAAATAAATAAAAATAAAAATTGGAAGAAAAGGCAAGAAAAAATAACATACTGAATCATCTTCACCAGCTTTAATTCTATATTTTCCTGGGATAGGTAACCTTTTTCCTCTATCATTTATTGCTTTTAACTTTTTATTTTGTTCAATTTAATTATTTGTTATTTTATAGTAAAATATATCACGATTATTAAAGAATAACAGCAAAACAATTACAACAATTTATTTATCTATTTATTTATAATGTAATAAGTAAGGAAAAATAAAATATACACATACTTGCGATTCATATTCGCTTTCTTCCTTACCTATACTTATGCATTCATTTATTATAGCATGTTTATATGCCCAGGAATTTATTATTGTGCGCGGTTCAAGTGAAGGTGCCCAAAGGTGTGATGAAGGCATTAATTTTTTAAATATGAGGAAGGGTGTAGTATATAAATATAAGAGAAGTTTATTAATATAAATTAATATTAATATTAGTTTTTTTTATGATATTTGATCAACGTTCGTGTAACTTACAAAAAGTTTGATTGAAATAATAACGATGAATAATAAAAAAAGTTATATTGTATATAGTGAAGAATTTAATATAAATGATATGGATAAAGATGGTAAAAAATTTGATCGAGGTTAGTTTCTCATCCTCCATTTCATTCTTTTTCGATCAAACAGCCAGAATTGAGATTAATCAATCCTTTTGTCCGAAAATAAAATCCAAGTATCAAGATTTACAGGACGTAGTGAATCAGGTGATGTAGAATTAATACTAGATGTTAATATAGATTTATATGCTTTGGATATTGGTGACAAGATAGAATTGTTATTATCGACAGGTTTAGCAATGAATTCTGAAAAAATAGAAGAAAGTATGGTTATTGAACGTGAAGACAATTCACAAAAGGCTTCTTGGCGAGAAAAGGTCTCGAATGAGCCAGATTTATCAGATAATTATGAATACGTTATGTATGGTAAAGTATATAAATATGTTGAATATCAAGCTGGAAGAATGTAAGCAATTATTATTGTGATTGTTTTCGATATATTTCAAAAAAGGATTTTATTCTAATTTATCTTTTACATTTTATATTTGCATATTTATTTAGTGGTGTTTTTGTATCATTTGGTGGATTATTAATGTCAATTGAAGGAAATCTTTATCACTTGCATAAACTT